GTTTCTTACATATTTCTTCTATGTTGGGACGTATATAAGACAATGCCTCTAAATTTGTCAGTCTTTCCTTTTTTATTTTGGATTTTGTATTGGTTTTAATGTGGAAAACCCAAGTTCACATAAACATGAAGTTGAAAAAATTAGTAAAATTTTTATGGCTTTTTTTATATCAGTGGATATTCTTGTTGGAACGATATCCAGAATTCATCAAGATTCGTTTCAGCGTGTTTGATTTTCATGGAGCAGTCAGGTGACAAGGATATAAGCTCCTCTTCCTCTGAGACATTACATTCAGAATTATCATATAATTCTTTTGAAATAAATGGATTCCTAATCCAGTAATATTTGTCCGTGTCGAGAGAATGAAAATATTTTCTTACGTTGTTTTCTACTATTGCTAAATGTTCTGATATCAAGGAAACAATATCGGTATTATTCAGTATGGAAGGAAACATACTGAGATTATTTTCTTCTACTCTTTTTTTCCAAAGAATGATCTTGTGGAAAGCTGATAGTTTGTCCGTTGATGTTAAGATGTTTTCCTGTACACCTTGCATGGTAGTATTCACAATGTTCAAATAATTAAATATGTCCGTTAAATATCCAAGTTTGGCACACCACATATCATTTTTAAGATTTTCTGAAAAGCACATATTTTCTTGTTCGAAGAAAACTATCAATTCTTTTTTCAGTTCCAGTACACCAAAAAGCATTTTTTCTCGAGAAAGCCACCTGATTTCTGTATGAAAAATTAACCCTTCATATTTTGCTTCCATCATTGCACACTGTTGTTTGAAAATTCGGGATTTCAACGGTCTCGTCTTTATGTAATTTGCCATATTAACAACGCTAGTAAGAACATCTTTTAATTTTGCAGGTAATGTTTTTGCAATAAGCAATTCCCTTTGCAAATGTCACAAATCCCTTGACTGAGCCTATCATTGATGGAGCTCCATCAGTGCAGATTTCCACGCATTGTTCTAACTTCAAATTCAAACGTTCAAAGAATTGATAGCATTATAAATGGCTTCTTCACTCGTTCTTTCTAGTAACACTCTGCAACACAAAAATTCATTCACTATTCTATTTTCTTTAACAAATCGAATGTATCCAAGTAAAATGGCTTTTCCACTAGTATCTGTTGATTCGTCAATTTGAAGAGCGAAAGATATAGTGTGAAGTTTACTTGCAAGTCGAATACGATTGCACACTTTCCGATTTCCGACTAAATCTGCGAAATACTTGGGAGATGCTTACGGAACACCGGTTGGGAACCACTGATTTAGAATATTTTTCCTATCCAAATTATTCGTTTTGGAGGTTTTTTTTATTTGCGATAAGATCGAAGGCAAACTTAAAAAGTTTAATTGATATAACAAAGCAATCCCGGTAGACGCCATTTTCGACTACTGGCACGTGGCCTACCTACTGTAGTAGCTTGTTTATATTTACGGCTGGCAGATGGCGCGTTTCAATTGTAGGGTAATTTCTGCATGCGAGTACACGCGATACGGAAAGACGACGGAACGGCAACTGTTTCCGTCGTTCGTTGCCGCATGTGAGTACCAGGATTTATTGTGTGAATCTAAGGATGACTCAAGATATATAAATTTCAGTTCGCAAAGTTTGTAAGTCCTGTTGTCAAGTTCGAGACCTGTCAATCTGTTCATTCTTCACCCGATCTATGGAATCTGATACAGTCCATTATGTATGCAGTCTGTATGTTTAATTTGTACAGTACTTTTAAGTTGGCTGAGGAGAGGCTAATGCCCGAAACGCGATTTGTAACTAGCGTCCCAACCGAATAAAGTGATGGATAATCTGCCAAGTGTTTAAGAGAAGTCACGTTATTGTGTCTGAATAAAGCAAATTAAATTAAAACACGGTTTCATCGGAATAAAAAAAAAAAAAATTCATATTTTATGCGACGAGGGTCGCAAAAGATATTAATGCGGGCCGCAGGTTGCCCATCCCTGATCTAGAATAATACTATTTTGGGAGAATTTGTTTCAGATTTCAGGGGAAACTTAGTTTTAAGGTCCATTTACACACCTGTCCGCTCAGTGCAGTGAATTTTTGCCGGTGGGAAATCGTTGACCTAGTTTTAAATTACCCTGTCCAGACTTGTCCGTCACAGAACTTTGCAGTGGAGGGGGCTTGACCGTAACATGAAAGTACTGTACTGTACATTTGACCCGAAGGACATTTTCACTGACGGTAAATTTTGTTTTCCAATGGATGACGAACGTTTAATTGAAATGGTGCATCAACACTTCTATTTGATTTGTCTCATTCGAAATACATGGACATTGAGTACAAAATGAATATTTGGAGTGAAATAGGAAAGGAATTGAAGACTGATAAGTAATTTTATAAAATATTACTTTTAAATATTTTATTTTTTTTTATTTAAATCAAAATAATCAATAATTAATTATAATCAAGTACAGGTATTTTACTTTACTTCTTTATTTTAAATATTAACAATTCTAAAACATAAATTTTTAAAAATTTTTTCTTTCTGCCACGGAACAGCCCCTACTTCCGAATTGAAATCTTTGTATAATTATCTTACACTGGAGGCTCCATTTGCTGAATTTCTTCCTTGAAGAGGGAAGCTGAGTACAACTGCCTCATTTTTATCATTCGTATCAGCTGTAGGTTCTCTGGTTTGTATATGACTGTTATACGAATATTTAATAATTATGTAATACACAAATCGATATTATACAGTCTACATTTTCCGGTAGTGCCTGAATTCGTCTATTGTATATTCTGAATTTTTGACTCAGAATCCCAAAAATATTTTCCACAATTCTCCTTACTCCGCACAAACGATAATTAAAAATACGTTTGGGAATATCCAGTTGTCCTCTCGAATATGGCCTCATCAAATACTTCCTGAAAGGAAAAGCCTCGTTCTCTCGTCCTCTACAATTACATAAGGAGCTTCATTTGTTGTACTGTACCTGCCAGCAGAGCATTTTGTGGAATAGATAAAATACATCGTTCGAGTGATTTTCCCAGATTAGATTGAGCGAAAATCCCGCCATCGCTATTTTTTCCGTAGGATCCAACATCTACATCTGTAGTTAGCATCTACAAGTGCTAACAACGCTACAGAGAAAGTTTTCTTATAGTTAAGAAATTGGGATCCGCTATTAGGAGAAACTTGGATGACTATGTGTTTGCCATATATTGCTTCTAAACAATTAGGAAAATTCTAAAGTTCGTAAAAATGCTTAGCAATATCTTGCCACATTTCTTCTGTAGGTTGACGCAACATTTCTTTCACGAGTCTTTCCACAATCACTTTACAATTTGATGTACTGTACTGTAGCATGTCCAAACTGGTAACTGAACGAAATTGTGGTTAGTGAATCTCCTGTGGCTAAAAACCTAAAAAAAAACAGAAACAGTAATAAGCATAATCCCATGACGTGTTATGTTATTTATTGATATTTATTATAATGTTATTAATGTGTTTTATACCTGCTATGTTAATTATATATATATTTTTAATTTATAGGACCAACGTGTAAGATGGAGTAATATTCATGATAATTATAGAAAATCATTTAAGAAAATTGCAATCAAATGTGGCCAAATGGCAAAACGAATTAGATCAATTAAGCTTTCTCAACAAATTTTTTGATGAAAGAGAAACAAAAGGAAATATTGAACCTTGAGAGGCTAAATTGAAGGTTGGAAGACAAGATAACGAACTAGATCATGTACTGTACAAGCTATGAAGGAATCCACAGTAAATTCACCTGACCCACAAGACTTTAGGAGTGATGATTGCTGTACAAGTCACACTAATGCTCAAACTTTACAAAAGACATTTAAAAAAAGAAAGCAGATACCACAAGAAAGTGCTTCATCCACATTGATGAAATATATTCTTTTGAAAAACACAAGCCAAAATTCTACACCTACAACTCATCCAGTTGAAGCTTTCTTGAGTAGCATTTCTCCAACTTTAAAAACGTTAAATCCATATTTATTGAATTTAGCAAAATCAGAAATATTTGCGATAGTACAAAAATATGAAATGAAAATGCTTACACAGCAGCCAACACAAGCACAGGAAGCATACAGAATTTTGCCAGAACCCATGCTAAATACTTTTTCGTATGCTTCAAGCAGCTCAAGTCCATCATCAAATGATCATGAATTTACATTACTAATACCAAATTCCATAGAACAAGACAATATTAAATATCAATATAGAAGAGACAATATTAAACAATTTAAGTCTGAATTTTTATTTAATTGCTTACCTGAGAAACTGCTAAACGTTCCTTCGGTGTTATGGCTAATCTCCAATGAGTGTCATGTTTCTTCAAATATTTCTCTGTTTTGTTCAATAAAACATGAAATGCATGTTGGGACATTTGAAAATATTCGAAAAATTTAGATTTGTCATCTATTAATTCTTTATGAAAGAGTTTCATACTCTTTTATTCTTAGATTCTTCATCTATTAATTCTTTATAAAAGAGTATGAAAGAGTCTCATACTCTTTTATAAAGAATTAATAGATGAAGAATCTAAATTTTGAAACTCCCCTTCCATTGACCTTTTTGTCCATGCTTGATGTACACACTTCGACACTTTCTTGATTGCATTTCTTTTTCTTCATCATCCAAATATATAGCTATCATAGCCAATTTATCCTCAGAAAAGTCCATGACCACTCACCGAGAGCACAAAACAAATACTGCGCAGTTACATCACTGTTGTGGGTAATTACTCATCACTGTGCTGTTCTCGATGTCACTGTCACCAAATGGTCACTGTTGTGTGTAAATGGACCCTAAGAAGGAATACCAGGTCTGTTTAGGGGGATTTTTGCAACAGAAGGTTGGAAACACTGCAACATGCTCATTTTCTTTCACACACAATTTTAGGATCGCGTTACATTGGTAAATCGGGCTGCCTGCATTTTCTATTCTTCTGATGATAAGTAATTTTAAGTATCTATCCAAAATTTAAAAAATTATATTAAAAATGTTTATTCCTTTCCTAATTTCATTTTTGTAAAATTTTATTGTTTCAAGAACAAACTTTTGTATACAAATATGTGCAATTATTTACATTATAGAAATGCCACATTTTTCATATTCTTGTAAAATTGAACCAATTTAAACTAATTATGTTGATATTAATTAACAAATTTGTTAGCTACTATCAATGTAATTATAAAAATGGACCAGCTCTGAATTTTCTTAGCAAGCATTGTTATATAATAATCATCTCTAATACACTTTGCTGATATTAATAACAATCAGTTCATTATAAAAAATAATGAAAACCCTAAAAATATAAATTTAACAAAATTGCTATAGTTTAGTAATGCTATGGCAGCATTTCGGTAATACAGTGGATTCTGCTTAATTGGGCCACCAGTTAATCGAGGTAGCTGATTTATTGGGCCAAATCTCAAAGAACAGAAATCAAACTAATAAACTAATACATGATTTAAATGCTAAATTGGAACAGTAGAAGAAAATTAATTTAGAAATTTTTGATACATTTTAGGGATCTTCTGAAAATACTGTATATCAGCAGTACGTACCTAATTTCGTTTGGGCCTAACAGTTAGCAAAGATAAAGCTATTTGTGTCTTTTGCTTGAGCTATTTGGTCTTTCCGAAGGGGAGTCAGCATAGCAAGATATATCACACCATGATCTTGTCTGGAGCTACTGACACTGCCTTGGATTGGATCATCATTGGTGTAATGATGATATTGTGTAAGGAACATGATTAGTCAATTTAAACTGGTAATGAATGCTGTCGAGGAGAGAACATTGAGGAACACAATTAGTTAAATTTGAATTGGTGGTGCATGCATCTCAAGGAAGAGATTGTTGGCGAAAAACATCACGCAGTGTGGCAGACCTAGAATAAAGCTATAACCAGCAAAGTTGCTGACTGGTTGGCTGTCAGCTGTCGACAGCTATATATTTAGTTTGTTTAATTGGGACACCCGCTTAATTGGGCCAAAATGGATTAGTCCCAAGCTGAATCCACTGTATTTAAAAATGTCAAATTTAAATTTGATTTCTTTTTTAAACTTTCAAGCCTTTACTTTTCAAGAATGCCTCATCATTAGGTTCTCTTCCCAAGAAATCTCTCAGCATATCGAATCCATCCTAAAGACAAAAATATTTTCCATAATTCCTGTGTATAAACATGACAGAGAAAAAAATCATACCTTTGTTCCACCAGGTGCCAAAATTTTGTTTCTGTAATCTTTTCCAGTCTGATAATTCATGATACCTTCGGATTTGAATCGACTGAAGAACATGTCCATGCTGTACACTTCACTCCACTGTAATATAAAAATATGTAGATTTAAAACTTTTTATTATTGATCATTAATGAATAAAAAGTGTATGAATTGGGTTGTACTTAACAAAATTTCTATAGGGCCTCCACATTGTTTCTGGCCATGTGTAGCACCCTTTGTCAAATGTCTGACAGATGACATACTCTGTTGGTAGAACCATTTTTATGGATAGAGTGTGGGGACCATTTTATTGGAGCTAGAACTGGCATTTGTTGATGGGAATTGATCTCGAAAAGGCTCCAGAAAAAATCAAAATCANTACTCTGTTGGTAGAACCATTTTTATCAATAGAGTGTGGGGACCATTTTATTGGAGCTAGAATTGGCATTTGTTGATGGGAATTGATCTCGAAAAGGCTCCAGAAAAAATCAAAATCAAAATGAGACATGTTGGATGTTTGAGATGCTTGAAAATTTCTTACACACATGTGAGGATCTGAATCCAGACTTTTCATGTGTTTATATCATTTCACATTGTAGCCATACCTTCATTCCATAACTGTCAACTTTTACACCTGGGAGCTAAATATCTGCTAAGTTCTCAGGCTTAATAACGACGCTTTCTCAGCACCTTTCGACCTAATATCTCTGTTTCAACAATCCAACATGAAAAACAGACAACAAAGTGAGGCATTCGTCACCAGTTCCTCGATCGGAGCACTTGAGTTTTCCCTGTGCTAAAACTTTGGATATTTCCTCGCCTAATAACTGTGGAAATAAGAACTGTCTTCTTTTGTGATTTCATACAAGGTAATTATCGCCACGCAAACTTCTGTAAACTCTCTCTCTCTCTCAAATCGGGAAAAAACGTAATATCTTAATATCGAATACTTATCAAATCAAGAAATGTATCTAACAGCAGCCCTAATGTATAGCCTATTGTTAACCATTAAACAGTTGTTACGTTAAAATGTCTATGAGTAGGTAACTTTTGGTGTGCTGTCTCTCCTTCCATCCCGACTCTGATCGCTCCGTTCGCTCACACACACGACTGCTCACACGTCTGAACGAAACAGTTTCTGTGTCTAGCCATGAAGACACAGTGGTGTCAGTCCTGACGAAACTTGTCATTGCTATCTTCGCCTACGCGATGTCGACCCTTTGGTCACGTGGTGCCGAAGTATAGGGAGGCACTTTGGCATTGTCACACACATTTCTGCAGCATTATTGTTACTACACCAGCAATATGGCAATGAACATTACTGTGTAACAAAATCAGCTGTTCTTGCACAAATGCAGGTCATAAGTGGCATTCAAGGAATTTCTTGTTCCACCAACAGATGCTATTCTAGCTGCATTATAATAGTCCATGTGATCTATCTGTTAAAACAATTTTGCCAACAAAGTAGGCACCTGATGGATATTTGCTATCAGGTGTTACATGTGGTCAGAGACTACATGAAAGGCCAATAAAAGTAAAACCCACTTCATATGTTTTATTCATTAGTGATGAATATTTATATCATGACCCTTCTATGTCAAAGATAATATAATATTAATATTTTCATTAAACTGTTTGATCTATAGTTTCAAATAATGTTTAAGAAAATATTATTCATGGCTGTAGAATGTTATAATTTGGAATGCACAGTTTTTTATCTTCTAGTTTTTTCACTTTTTCATTCAATAATGTGAGGCAGGCTACTAAAGAAGGCTGAAAACTTTTGTGTCATAATAAAAAAATTTGCTGGAAAAAGTGAGGAAAACGATCTTGTGTGACTTAGTAGAAAAGTTCCAGCTTTCAGGGGAATCGATACTTGCTGACTTATTTAACATATGTGCATGATGAACTGTGTATCATTACTTGTTTACTATTATTCATGGAATTGTTTTTGACAAAAGAATGTTACTTATTCTTAGTTCAATTTATAACAAACAAAAATTATTAAAAACAAAAAGCACAAATCTTATAATGTAATCATTTATTCCATGTTCAAATGATATTCAAATTAACAACTCAGTAAACAGAATCAAATACAACTTACCAAATAGCTATAATATCCTGCATCATACCCATCAACTAGATGCCCAAAATTAGCAGCAAAATTAGTACCTTCTGTTGGAGGAATACCAAGAAGTGAGCAACTCAAATCATGATAAATTTGTCTTGTATCAGCCTAATAATAATAAATATTTTAATCTCAAATGACAAATTTGAATAATTATTAATAAATCTTCTTTCCTTACTTTTGGATTGGTGTGAATGTTATAATCAAGCATGCTTAGGGCTATTTGACGCAAATTAAAATAACCAACATTAGCTAAACGAGAATGTACAAGAGATTGTAAAATATTATCTGGTAGAGGACTTCCATCTTTGTAATGTCCAGACATTCTTCTTAGGGTTTCTGGTTCCCAACACCAATTTTCAAGCATTTGAGATGGTGCTTCTACAAAATCCCATTCAACATTTGCTCCACTAACAAAATAATACAAGTTTAATATTTCATTTCAAAGTAATCAGAAATTTAATATTATAATTAATTAAATATAAATAAAAATAAATTAATATGTGGGTCAGACAAATATAAACCAAACTTTTTCCCAACAGCAGAAGGGCAAATGTACACAGTCCCAACTATGTATAAATATTAGTTGTCATGTGTAGACTGATTTCCTGCCATGCACAATGCATTATAATCAAGTTTTTAAAATGTGAATCTAACCAAGATTTTGTTAAGTATAAATATACAGTTTGGGAATGAAATATTTGCATCAAAGATGCAAATATTTGCATCTTTGATGCAAATAATGCCACAGCAAATGCCATATGCCACTAGCAAATGCCATATGCCATGTAAATATTTGCATCAAAGATGCAAATATTTACATGGCATATGGCATTTGCTAGTGGATTTAACAATATGCAAAACATCATGTATCCATGTTGCCCCCAAGACAAGCATAATGTCAGATAACATTCAAGTAGTTTGAAGCCTTATTGAAGGTGTCTAGACGTTAATAGTGGATGAAATTTATACAGGAATTAGGATAAGCCATAGCAGCATGTAGCCCATCATTTGGAATGTGTTAAATTCAAAAAAATTGAAACTTGATGGGTTCCATACCTTTGAATTAGATCAGAAAGCTGTTTGATTTGGAGTTTCTCAGAGACTGCTAAATTTGTACAAGGTAGAGGGGGATGCCCTTTTCAATTTCATTGTCATCTGTGATGAGTCATAAATGCATCATTATACCACAGACTTAACAACATAACCACAGACATAACAAGCCAGTATGAAATTGTGGAAAAAGGATGGAGTAGGTCCTATGAAGGGAAAAACAGTTGTCTGAGTAAGATTCTCATCATTGTTTTGAGATTATAAAGGCATTGTATATGTTGATTTCCTCCAGTTAATGCTGCCTACAACTGAAAACTGTTAGACAGAATCAAGGCAGCATTTTCAGGTGAAATTCCTGTTCTATTTCATTTCTGATGTGTTCTATTTTCTTTCAAATTTCTTTTTTTAAATTGATGGACTGAAAACATTTGTGATACATTACAAAGTAACTGAAAAGTATTATAAGGTTAGTGCGATACATTTATGAACACTTTGTTTATTGGATGGATTTTAAGACAGAATATTGGTCCAAAAGGCATGTTGTTCCATTCTGATAGCAATCCAATTGGGCAATCTCATCTGTTCCTAAATGGCAATGTGAGTCATCACATTGCCATCCTACATCAAGACAAATTAATGAAAATGCACTGGATTACTGTCAAACATCCTCCATTCAGCCAAGCTGTATTTCCATCTGATTACAACTTGGTTGGACCTCTCAAGGAGTCATTAGATGAAAATGATTCAAATATGATAAACAGTGGAATCTTTGTATGCAATTGTCTTTGGGCAACAGCCCACTAGATTCTACAATGGATGAATAAAAAAAAACTCAAATCAGGTGGAGAAAATTTCAAATGTTAGAGGTGTAAAAATGACTTGTGTGTAATTTTAAAAATATTCATTTAATAGAATAGGACAAAAGGTTTGGTTTATATTTGACTGACTCTCATATATATTAAACAATTACCTAAAGAAAGCTAAATTTGCAGTTGTACAAATCTCATGCATTACATGACCAAATTCATGAAAAAATGTTTTGACCTGAAAATTAAATGAGTAATTTTTAAAATTCAAACTTTTACATTAAGAAAGAATATAATAAAAAATTATTACTATGTAAAAATCATTGCAAATTTATAAGATTGGTAATTAAGTTTTGAAAACCACAATATATCTTATTTTCTGAAACATTTTTGGAAAGTGTCATTTCATTATCAATGATTTAAACATGTATTTGCTTTATATTCCAAAGATTAGAATTTTTCTTAAAAATATAGAACAAAATGCAAGCTGAAATTGCTAATGATGGGATGATATGTCTCAAAAATGGTCATTATTTTCTACTGTTGAAGATGATACATACTTCATTATGATCTAATAAAGATGGTTTCTCATCTGTTGGTTTGGTGAGATTAGCAATGATTACTGCTATGGGAACTTGTCTGTCTCCATCAGGCAGCAAACATCCTTGCTAATAAAAATCAAACAATAAAATTAATTTATTAATTCA